TTTTTAGGCAATTCTATGGACTCGGCATATAATACGACGGCACGATTGTGGCTGCAGCTATCTGTAAAAGAACGACTTTCCATACAATAATTTCACAATAATTTATAATTTATAATTTAGTCACTTTTCATAATATAATTTGTATATTTGAGTGGAGTTGAGTCCAGAAGCACGAGAAAACAAGAAGCCAAAATGCAAATGCAAATACTATGTACCAGAAACAAACATTAAATTTGTATCAATAATGATATTGTCTCGTATAGGAAAATTATTAATGTGCATAGCACAAATGGTATCGTGAACATTAAAGTGTTTATATAAAGTACAAATTTACAATACAACTATTCATATAAAGCGTATATGGAGCAAGTCAGCTTTATAATTAACATACTTCCAATGTCTGATATAATTTCTTTGGTACTCTAAAACTTTGGTGGATTTTTTTCAAACTAAAAAGTCAAACTCTTAAAAATAATCACACACTTACATCCTTCCAATAAAAGTTTGCTGGCAGCTAATAAATCCACATCGCCACAACCCTTTTGTTGTGTATAACCAAAATTGGGATAAAAATCTACTGTACCACGAGGTGTTAAGTCTCCAAAAATCGGAAAATCAGTATGTATCACGTCAACAAAGTGTGCATCATTTGATCTTAATCCATCCAAAGAAATAGGTGTGAAAAGTGGTAATGCAGGATCTAAGCCAGTAATACGACCTAAACTTCCATTGAAGAATCTTCCAATATTGCCTGCTATATGCGCACCCAAACTGTGGCCAATTATGTGTACTTGATTATACTCAATTTCGTGTTTGCTGCAATAAAATTCAATTTAGTGAAATAATTTATTATTTTTATTATTGTCATATATAATTTTGTACTTCAGAAATTCATACAAAGCCTCTGCAAAGTGTTTGGCGACTTTAGAGATGGCACGGCGGGAATTGTGATAATCCAAATTTGCCAAATCCTGCCAGTCCGCTATAAATACATTTGCTACTCCTTGAGCCAAATAAGCTGAAAAAAAGTGTCCATTTGAAACATATTTAATTTCTAAAAAATTAAATTAATAAAATCATTATACTAAACACTACTTAAATAGAATGCAAGAGCATATCTCAACTAAGCTATGAAATAGTATTCTTCCATTAAAACTAAATTTTATTATAATGTAATATAATATATAAAGATTTAATTCTATTAAATCTAAGTGATGATATTTTAGGTTTTACGCAAACACAAAAATAATTTGATATAATCACTTCAATAAGCACCTAGTAGGCATATGGGTCATTTTCTGCAAATAGATTTTGCCCTAAACACCTCTGATGTGGCTGAATTTTTTTTTTTTGATACCACAAAATAAAATATGAACTTCAGAAAATGCTAATGAAAAATATATTAAGAAATTTTATTCCTAGGTATATCCTAGGTTCCATAAAATTTCAAGAAGTTGTATTTTAGACTAATATTTAAGTAGCCTTATCTCAAGCCATGGTAAAGAAACGGCAGAGAAATGACTTGTGCTTTAATTTTAACAAAAATATAAGTAATTATGTAGTTTTAAAAAAATTATTTTTTTTAAATTATACTTTAAAAATATTTATTTTTGGCATATCAAAAATAAAGCATATACATTTTCTATAAATAACTCGTGAAAACTCATTTCAAATGAACTGTTAATATTGGTACTTAAGTATAATCAATTTCAATTGTTTAAACTATGTATAAAATGTTCAATCAATTATCTTTAAAACACAGTTAACTTTAGGTCTCTGCTACTTAAAAAACAAAAAATTATTGATTTTTTCCCCGAAAATATAGGTATTTTTATTCATTCAGGTGATCTTATACTTACCATTCGCTAAAGGCTTTATTGAACTATGACTACGTGATCCCAAAAATCCATGTACAATAATTTTGAAATTCTGTTTCGAAAGCAAACTCTCCACTTCATCCAATCTTAACTCAGATGGACCTCCCAGACTGGATCTATTAAAGTTAATAATTAGTCTTTAAAAACATTATGCATATAGATAACCAAATTTTAAAAAGTATATAATATATGTATTATTATATGTATTATATGTATTATTTTCATAGTTCAATTTTCTAATAATTACTTACGGTCTTTGGTAATAAATGTTTGCTGTAGATAAGAGGGTTTCCTGCGACTTATGTCCATTAATCATACAAAATATTATATAAAATATAAATAAAAGCTTTATTAATTTTTCCATTGTATACTTTTGTTTTAAGTTCAAGATAAAATGTTGTTAATCAATGAGATTCTCCGGAAAACTAACTGAATTTAAATATAAATTTTATCTTAATGCAAATACCTGAAGCAGTTTGCGTGTTGGTTAAATTATATTTACTCCAATCACAATTACGCACACTTATCATATTAAATAATATGTGCTTGAAGTATTTTCTGAAATATATAGGAAAATTTTGAGTTCTACATATGACTACATAATTATTTCCTTAAAAATATTTCACTCATTTTAGAATATAAAATAATGACAACAGTATTCATTTCATATCAAGCAGTATTGATTTCATGGATATCACTACACAATATATTAAATCATTATAATGATAGCTGATCTCTTCTACACCTTTTAAAAGTCTACAGAAAACATATGATATGGATTATAAAACTTCAACCCATGAAATGTTTACAATATAGATAGATAGGTAAAATGAAAGGTGATTAGATCCTCTTCAATTAGCCAGAAAGTCTTTTTGATTCCATATTCCTCATACCTTATTTGTGGAGCGTTGGATATTTTACAACCAACTGAACACATTTTTATGTTGGAAATTTTGTGGAGTGCCTTGAAGAGTGGATATAGTTAACTCTGGACAATGACCCAAGAGACGCTTGGGTGTATTTTCTTCAAAGGCTGTAGACCGAACTATATCTACAACGAAGAGAGGATATTTTAGGATATTTCATAAAGAATTTGAATAAAGTTTGCTTTAATCATAATAAATATAATGTTAGATCAATATTAGATTATTAGTTCCTTAAACTATTTGTTTTCAGTTATTATACCACGATATTGCTTATAGAATTTAAGTAATTTTAAAAGGATCTTATAGGCATATTATAAACGCTTATAATTATTGTTTTTATTACTATTACATTTTCAAAAATTTCAGAATTTTTATTAAGAATTCAATCACTCAATTAAAGGCATTAAAAGTATCCTTAATTCTTATTAAAGATATTAAATAGCTCTAGTATATTATCCCATTATAGCCATCTCTGTTTCTCGTTTCCTTTCCGAATAAGTGAAAAAAAAGTATCAACTTCCAAGCCACAAAATGGTTCCGGGCCTACAATTAGGAAGGGCGTTCAATACACATATATATCATTCTCAGTCAAATTAAATCAAATTTTGTACATCGACTTTTTAAAAGAACCGTTAAATCAATTGAATAATCTCATGTGACTCTGACAAAATGAAATTTATTTCATTGTGTCTATTTATACGTTCTGTCATTAATAATACAATAATATATTACTACCGTTATATGGCTATAACTCCTTTTTTACATAAATATTGCTAAAATTAGCTTTAAAAATTCATGTTTATTTATTAATCTGTATCGCTTACATATTAAATAAAAAATATGTCTTTATATTAACATAGTTAATTTGCACTAATAATAATACCCTTAAAATAAATTCATAGTTATTGTATATAAGACACAGATGTAGTATATGTCAGTATTATTAGTAACGTAGTGGCATTACAATATATGGTACCGAGGTAGTCTAATTTAGTAAGTCGGACAAACAATAAACTTTTTAATAACTGTTAGAATGACAAACAGATTTATAGGTCTAACAAATGATTTAGAAATGACTAAAAAAACAACACAAGACTATAGTTAAAGTTTTTTTAATAATTTCATAAGATCATATTCCATAATCTTAGTCTTAAATTTCAGAGATTAATATATTACTATATTTTTTAATTTTACAATAAATACATCAAGGACCTCTTCCCTAATCCAATAAATTTCACTAAAACCAAAAAATTGAAATAAAAACTACTTTAAATCTTTTGATATGCGTTTTAAAAGATGGCTTTGACAGCGTAATAAGAACTCATCTGTCCACCCCTTTATATAATGTTGGTGTTAATATCTTATATGTTTTACAAAATGTCTCTTGACACCACTCCTAACTCGAATAGAAAATAGTTTCATCATGTAACCTATGTACTCACTATTGTTTATTCTTAACATTTAACCTAGTTAGAGCCTGAAAAATAAGTAACGATCCATACTCGTATACCCTGAAGAATCAGTATTGCGCTGCATACTGCTATTTATACATACTAACCTCAAAACCCCCTTTGACATACTTTAGATTAATCAGATTAATTAGAATAAATCAGTTTACAAATTTAATAATCAAATCCGGATGGCAGCTGCAGTAAAATGTATTGTTTTCAGCAGAAAAACAATTTTATACACAAAATATATTATTATTCAACCGACAGATTATATTTTAGATATCTGACTTAACCATGGGCGAAGAATATGTAACTTCAACGAAATCAAAGTTCAGGTCTTTTATCGTCATTTAAAGCATAAGAGAGTAGGTAATGAGGATTATCAAGAGAGTTGATATGGACGTCATATTATTTATTTATTAATTTACTGTATAATATATATTTTCATAATTAAAACAAAACAAAACAAAACATAATATATACATGTGTACATATGTATTTGTTTATATATTTACATAGTTATATATATGTTTCATTAGCAGAATTTCTTTGCTTCTAATAAAGTTATATATATGTATACAATGATATTTTATCATTTCCCTATTACATATATATACATCTATAACTTTCTTATATATATATTAATATATATTATATACAAATTAATTTTTTTTAAATAAAATTTTTTCAGTGTAAAAAATTATAATATGATACAATAACTTTTCAGTGCAATTTATTCTTTTGGTTCATGTATTAACTATATTGGGAAGTCTTGGCAGCATTTCAATTGATTTGTTACTATTGAAACCAAAATTAATTAGTGGCGGCATGAACCAAGCATCTTGTGAGTCTTTAGAAAATTTTGTATATGCGCCCATACCATAAGGGGGTGCATCATTAGTTTCGAGATAATAATAACCAGTAGCGCTGAAAAAAGATAATTTTATTACATAAATAGTTTAAATATATATATATAATATAATCTGCATATTATATACAAAATATATTATTATTAAAATATATAGAAAACATGTTTCGACAAAATGAAGAAAGATTTTGTTTTCCTTCATTGAAATAACTAAACCATTACTTTTACAATATAATATATACATATAATTTACCTTCTTGAAACTTCTTCTCCCATATAAACAACTTGAGTTTCATCCATTTCACTAATAGCATTACCTAAATTTGACAAATTCTTGTCGTTTAGTGACACCCTCACTAAGCAAAGGTATAGATTACGAAGTTGTATGCTACTGAGAGGGCAAGGAAGTGCAGGAAAATTCTTAGGCATTTCTATAGATTCGGCATATAAAACAACAGCACGACTATGACTACAACCAACTGTAACATGAAAATTTCCCATTTAAATCATTAAAAATGTAAATCGCTAGAGTAATATACACTTACATGCTTCCAATAGAATTTTACTGGTGGTTAATAAATCCATATCGTTACAACCCTTCTGTTGTGTATAACCAAAATTGGGATAAAAATCTACTGTCCCACGAGGTGTTAAATCCCCATATACAGGAAAATCAGTATGAATCACATCAACAAATTGTGCATCAGTTGATCTCAAACCATCCAAAGAAAAAGGTGTAAAAAGCGGTAATGCGGGATCTAAGCCAGTAACACGACCAAAACTTCCATTGAAAAATCTTCCAATATTTCCTGCTATATGCGCACCCAAACTGTGGCCAATTATATGCACTTCATTATAGTCAATTTCGTGTTTACTATAATAAAATTAAATTCAGTAAAATTATTAATATTAATTTTTATCATTTATTTATTTTTATACTTAAAAAATTCATATAAAGCCTCTGCAAAATGCATAGATACTTTAGACACGACACGACGAGAATCACGATAATCCAAGTTTGCTAAGTACTGCCAGTCTGCTATGAATATATTTGCAGCTCCTTGAGCCAAATAAACTGAAAAATAATTTATGTTTTATAATTATTTGTCTTCTTACTTTTAGTATTTAAAAGTAAATATAATGTATTCTAAAAAGGAATAGAAATAAACAGGGTATCGGGTCCAAACAGAAGAAAGATTAATATAAGATCATGCAATAAATAATGTTTCTCCAAAGGAATAATATTTAAAATTAACAATTAAAAATACATATAATTAATTGATTCTTATCTACAATTTTTAATTCTAGTAACTCTAACTCTTTTAATCTAATTCTAGTAAGTCTAATCTAATTAGTAGTTAACAAGTGGTTTATAATTTCGTTTTAATTCACAACAAGTGAGCTTCTTAATGAACTTTTACAGAAAATTGACAAAACTCCAAGTTCGAACATACAAGTCATATGCCGTATATGACTTGGGTCATTTGGCTAATGAACACTGACTCTGAGTTTAAAATTTGGCAGGGTACGAATTTTTACGAATAATTAAATATAAAACATAATTCTATAAAGACAACTGAATATGGGTATTTGGCAGTAATCGAAACAGCTGTTTGATCAATTAATTAAAAATAATAATATTTTGTAGTTACAATTCACTACTTTGCTATCATTTGCAATGATCTTTTATTTGAAGAAAATATAAGTGCATTTGCAAACTAAGTTATTAAAAATTTGACGAACTAAATTTTAGTGTTTATTATTGGATACTGTTTTTGAAATGTTTCCCTATATCTGGGGATTGACACCTACTGACAGACGAAGAATAATAATTATAAAAATGAGTAAGCTTTGGAGTTCTAAAGTAAATAAATTATTTTTTGCATTGAGTTTGCTCTTGTTTAGAACTTATAATCGTCATTATCTCATCATCACCATGATTTTATAGTCTATGTAGAACCTAAGCATGTTGTCCCGTCTTTTTATTCTCCTTTTTTGTTTGCCTTTGCTTTTCAGTTGCTCGGATTTATCTTTTTAAGATCTATCACACTTTTTCTTGGTCTGACTTACCCATCTTTTTTCTTTGTCTGTATAGTTATCGTGTTATTCTAAATTCGTCTTCCAATTTCGTGATGGTGCCCTTCTTTAGGCAAACTATTTACTTTAATATTTTTTTTATTTATTCGCCGTATAATTGTTTGCGCTTCTATTAATTGACTAATTTCATGGTTATATATAGAGAAATACACCACCCGACATTATCTCTTTCTTTCTTCGTATATGTAGATGTGTAATGAAATCAACACAAAACATATTAGCAGTTAAAATCGAAACAACTAGTGAAGTGGTTGATTTTATGTCTCTCAATGTTCACTCTATTTGACTGGGAAATATCATATTTTATATTTGGTATTATTTAAATTATCTTAGTTTATTAAAGAAAACTCTACATATATGATACGATAAGTTTTATATTGTTGCACTGGTTCAAATGTTTTTCTCGTCTTTTTTTTTTAAATACAGTTAGATTATTTATTTTTGTATATTATAAACTTCAGTTTATTAACTATAGATCGCATTATTGTTTTATATATCAAGGTTTTCGCTGACCGTTATTTAGAAGATATAATTTCACGCCATTGTAGTACCTACTTACAGCTCATATTCACTCTTGAAAATATCGTTGTGTTTTTATTATTAAAAACCAGTCCTAAGTATTAGTTATTTCCGTCTTTGAGTTCGTATGCAAACATTTTTGTCATACCGAGTGCCTTGTACTTGTGCCTGTTTTACGTGACTCAACTTAGATTTTCAAGAAAACTCAAAACCCAAAACTTTACTTAACTTAAATTTTAACTTCTAATAATCGCTCTACATATAAGTCACATATCTTTAGTAACAATTTAGGTATTTAAAATGCAATAAGGATTCAAAAACTTTTTACACAATCAAAATAAAAAAAACTCTTCTTAATTGTAACCAAATTTTTCTCAACTTACTTTTTACTAAAGGCTTTATTGAACTATGAGTTCGAGATCCCAAATATCCATGCACAATAATTTTTAAATTCTGTTTTGATATCAAATCCTCGACTTTATCTAATGTTAGCTCAGATGGTTCTCCTAGACCGGTCCTCTCAGATAGTCTTTAAAAACATTATAGATACAAATAACCAAATTTTGAAAAGTATATAATATACAATATGTCTTGCAATTTATTGTATCTTCATAAATCTTTTTTCTAATAATTACTTACGGTTTTTGGTAATAAATATTAGCTGTAGATAAGAGGGCTTCTTGCGATTTATATCCATGACTCATACAAAATATTATATGGAATATATATAAAAGCTTTATTAATTTTTCCATTGTAAACTTCCGTTTTAAGTTCAAGATAAAGTGTTACTACTCAATAAGATCTCTTCGGAAAACTAACTTAATTTCAATATAAATTGTATCTTAGTGCAAATACCTGAAGCAGTTTGCGTGCTAGTTAAATTGTTTTTATAACAATTACGATTACTCACATATAGAGTATTTATGTATTTGCCATTTTTAATTAAATCTGTAAAAAAATTGTAAGTTCTACATACGTGTACATATTTATATTATTAACTTTATTTTACTTGGAATAGAATAAAAAAATAATGACAGCAATTTTAATCAAGTAGTAGCTAACAAACTCTTACTTCTTACTTCACTTATGGTATCTACGGTAGCACCCTACCCTACTACAGGCCTACCCTGTGGTATCTCATGCAATACGTGTCTACCAGCTCTCGAAGAAAGAACACAAGCTGTGTCTATGAGCAGGCTTGGCCAGAAATAGGCTTAAATTTCTGGGGTTCCCTTTTTCAAAACAGTCGGTAATATCTCTAATATTAACATTGGCCAGATTCTTGCCTTTATAAATGCCTCTGGCTAGTTTCTAGCTTGATCTTCTCTTTACTACCCATTATTTCGAGAATTTATGGATTCAAAATGGCTAATTTCTTAGCTAATTGAGGAGGATTTAGTTCTCCATCCACCATAGTTAACTAACTATTACACTTTACCAAAAAGTCAAACGATATTAGAGGGGTCCGAAATTTTTATACAAGATATGTTGACTGTGTATGTTCAATAGCTAGTGGAAGTGTTAAGTAAGCAAAGACCACTTACGTTTTCAAAAAATCAATACTATAATATATATATTCCGGTCTATACGGACGGGCTTTTAAAGACAGTAAAACGATTCCTTTAAATAAGTATATTAAAAATTACCTTGATCAGTTTTTTTTCATCAGAAAATTAAAATTTTAAAAGACTATAATCTTGCTGCCACCGTAACGATGGCACAAGGTATTGGATCAGAATGGACACTATATGTGATTGAATAAAATTTTTGTTAACTATAAGAAAATCGTCTTTCATTTTTATAATTAATTATTGATTTATTTTTCGAAGAATCTTATAGTTTTCATAACATTACAGTCAGTTTTTACCGGTATTAGATGACGATTAACGACTAAATGACTATTTCAGATGTGAGTTACTTTCTTTATAAAAACAAGAGCCAATATATGAGTAACATGTAGGTAAAAAAATTGTTGATTTGAACACTACTGAAATGTAATTAGTTTTTATGTTTTAATATTGAAGTTTCAATACAAAAAATTGTTCTGCTGTTTCTTTTCTTCTTAGATAATATTCTATAAGTAATTAAACTATAATTACACTATATATCAGTTATCAACACAGCAATGTGAGAGAGGTGACTCAATTACTAACGTGTATTTATCTATTGCCCTGTAATGAGTTTTATTACTTTTTGATATATATAAATCAGAATCATTAAACCTTTTATGTACTGCAGTATTTTTCTAATGTGTGATGGTTTTCAAGTAAACATAAGAAACCACTGTAGGTAAATGATTTCAAGTGATCTCAAATTTCTTAAATTTTCTCTTATTTGACACATAATTAATAAGAAAACTTCTTCAGGGTCTATACATTATTATTAATATATTATGAATACTGTACTTTTGATATTGAAGCAGCAATAGTATTTAACAGATTGGGATCTTTGATTAAGCGATTATTCTTAAACAACCTACAAAGTCTATAGGTAATATAATATATACCTATATATACCTCTATATGTTATATATACATATAACAAACTTTATAGTTTATAGATTGATTTCCAATAATATGCGATACTTCAAAAATGGCAAAACCTGAGTAACGACATAATGTGTAGTAATGAATAACTATTAATAAGAATAATTATTTAAAATACATTTATAAGAAAATTTTAGTTTAGCAAAAATTTTGTTACAACTAAATTTTAACAAAGTTGTTCAAAATCATTATAACAAAAAAATAATATAAGAAATTTTAATCATCAATTTTTAATTAAATGTTATTGTTTATATGATTCACTCAATTGTTAATATAAAATTATATCAAATTATAAAATAATTAAATTGTCTTAAAATAAAATTTAAAAAAATTGTCAATAGTTCAGTTTGTACGCTTTCATAAAAATTGTTGCATAGTTTTAGGAATCAATAAATGTTTAAAAAGTAATGGCTTTTCACCTCAACTGAAAGCAATTGTGGGGAAATTTTATTACACTGAAAAGAATTAAATATATTATATATTAAGGTTGATTCTAAATTTAAAAATCTTAAATCTTAATATATAAAAATCTTGTAATATTAAAATATTATGATTGACTCACAATGGGATATTTTTACCACTGGTTTCGTCGCTTACAGTTGATAACCAAGTGGTCAAATTGAAGCAATGACACTTCAATAATAGAAATGCACTCTACACTGACTGTTGTAATGTAGACTGTCTAGCTCAAAATTAATGAATAAAAAAATCTTCTAATGATTTGAATCAGAATAATGCGTACCCATCGACGATTGCTATGGCTGCAAGCTGCTCCAATGGGATAAAATATCTATATTTTATTTGGGATATACCATTCAACTGTAACATCAACCTTTGTAAAGTTACTCGTATTATATAAACATGTAAACATGTAAATGTAACAAGACTTGCATGATTTCATAAAAGTGGTTTTTCCAATAGTATACATTGAAACAATAGGTTTCCATGCTTGAATCGAATGGTTACCCATTATAACACTGTTGGTTCAAAAACCAACAAAGTTGTCAATGCAGTATTAATTTAGTATAACGCCAGAATTTGAGTAACGTTAGATGTTTGATTCAAAGTCTTTTAAGCAGAGATTTATGTCTATGCCCATTTCAATCTCTTTAAACATTTAAGTGCTATAAAGGGTTCAGACATTTACCCCATACTATGTATTTATAGCTGTTGTGATGTGGTATCTGCTCATTCTGAAATTGTCGGTAATACGGTTACGTATAAACTCGAAAGAACCAATGCAATTTACTACAGCAATGCTTTGTTGAAAAATTAGCTGATTCATATTT